TGGTTTGGAAACATCCTTGAAGATCACGGACCGCATTGGGTTTGGGTTGGAAAGGTCCTCAAAAGTCATAATGTGGGTTGGGTCGGGTTGAGTTGAGCTGGGTTGGGTTGAGTTGGGTTGAGTTGGGTTGGGTTGAGTTGGGTTGGGTTGAGTTGGGTTGCGTTGTATGGAGTTGGGTTGACTGGGGTTGGGTTGGGTTGAGTTCAATTGGGTTGGGTTGGGTTGGGTTGAATTGGGTTGGGTTGAATTGAGTTGGGTTGGGTTGCGTTGGTTTGGAAACATCCTTGAAGATCACGGACCGCATTGGGTTTGGGTTGGAAAGGTCCTCAAAAGTCATAGTGTGGGTCAAGTCGGGTCGGGTTGGATTGGGAGGGTCCTTAAAGGTCAGAGGACGGGGTGGGAAAGGTCCTGGAAGGACAACAGAGCGGAGGCCCCCCCTGCAGCCCCAGCTCACCCTCTGTGGGCCTGGCGAAGCGCTGCGCCGCGCTGCTCCCCGCCCGCACGCGCTCCGCCTGCGCCGCGATGTCGGCCTCCACCAGGGCGTGCAGCTGCAGCAGGGCCTCCACGCCGTGCAGGTGCTTCCCCACATCCGGGCACTGCAGCCGGCCCTGACACAACCGACCGCGCCGTCAGCACCGCCGCGCCGCAACCGAACAAACAGCCCCGCCGGCAGCGGGAAGCAACACCGCAACCACAACCAAACAGCCCCACAAACAGCGGGAAGCAACACCGCAACCACAACCGAACAAACAGCCCCGCCGACAGCGGGAAGCAACACCGCAACCACAACCGAACAGCCCCACCGACAGCGGGAAGCGACACCGCAACCACAACCAAACAGCCCCACCGACAGCTGGAAGCAACACCGCAACCACAACCGAACAAACAGCCCCACCGACAGCTGGAAGCAACACCGCAACCACAACCGAACAAACAGCCCCACTGACAGCTGGAAGCAACACCGCAACCACAACCAAACAAACAGCCCCACCGACAGCGGGAAGCAACACCGCAACCACCAACAGCCCCCCACCCACCTCCCCAGCCCCCCAGCCCCACCCTCCTCCATCTCCTC